CCTGCCAGTTAGTGAAAGCTCAGTAAAGATTAGTTCCTCCTCCTCACGCCCCTCTTCCTTCAGTTAAGTTTTCTGGGGAAGCTGACGGGATGACAGCTCATAGCCAAGAAAATAAGCTTCAGCTTTTGTAAGATGACAGGTCTCTGGGTGGAGCAAATGGTTTGTGTTCCACTACTAATCAAAAGGCTGGTGGTTCAAATCCAGCCAGTGGCGCCATGGAATAAAGGCCCGATGATATGCTTCTGTAAGATTAAACCCTTTACTGTCTAGTCTATTCTGACTCACAGTGACCCTATAGGACAGAGTAGAACTGCCCCATATGGTTTCTTAGGCTGCCATCTTTACAGAAGCAGACTGCCACATCTTTCTCCCGTGAAGTAGCTGGTGGGTTCAAACCACCAAGCTTTCGGTTAGTAGCTGAGCGCTTTAACCACTGTATCACCAGGGCTCTAAGAAAACCTTGTGGAGCTCAGTTCTAGTCTAGTCGCCACGGGTAGCAATCAACTCGATGGCCAAGTGTTTGGTATTTGGATTTCTGTAAGATGGATGTGGGAAAACTGAAGAGCTACACCTTTGAAAAACTGGGGTCTTTGACAATTCCTGGGCCACTGTTCTTTCTAGGGATGAGCATGCAACCCTCTATAACTCTGCAAGGAGGAATGCCTCACGTGTGGTCCAATTTAAACATTTTTAAACCATCCTTGAGTGAGTGAGTCATGTCTGGATATTACTTTGGGATTCTGAATATAATCTCCCATAAACTCCCTGGTGGAGAGTTACTCACTCAGGAAGTTAATGTGTCTGTGCACATGCCTCAGAATCCTTTGTTCATGCCAGATAACACACCGAGTCCTCTAAACTGCTCTAGTTCTGGTCAGGAGCTTTGATGAACCCTCAGCTGCCTCATTCTGGGTTTTTAGTCCAAGGGGCTTTAAGAATGGGGATCATCAGATTCTGGGAAAATAGCGGCATAAACAGACCACCATTTTGACCATCCTCCACAAATACACAAGAAATACAACAAGGAAACAGTGCTCGGCTTTGAGAGACTCAGAATGGGGTAGCAGAGGAAAACAATGGGGAACTGCAGACAGGCAAGAATCAACCGATCAACAACTAGTTGCATACAGTAGGAAAATCGCTTCTCCCAACATCCCTGCCCCTCCTGCCCCAGCCATGCAGGTCATCGGCTACTGTGAACTGGGGAAGTAGCCCCAGAAAAGGAGTTTGCTTGCCTAACCACCACAGCCCCTGTCTGTACAGAGAAAGGACCCCAAACATCTTCACTAAAATCAACAAAGCAGACCTCTCTGGGGGTCCATTTGGAGTGTGCCAGCACCTCCCCCACCCAGACACTGTAGGCAGCAAGCCTACCACAAATTGCTACAGAAGGTCCATGCAGTGGAGTCTGCTCCCATAGTAAACACTCTACTGGCCTCCCTGTGTACCCTACAGCTCAGGCCTCTGAAACCAACAGGACAGACCTCCCTGGGGATCAGTTTGGGACTGTCTACTCTCCCTTCTGGTGGGCACTGAGGACTGCTGACTGAGGCTGCTGTGTGCTAGGAAGCAAGCAGGCATTATTGGTAGAGGCTACACCCACAGCCAACAAACTATGGGGCAGGGAGTCTCTGACAGCAATAAGGCAGACTTCCCTGGGGGTCTGTTTGGAGTAGGACAACCACTTCCCCAACTGGTAACTGTCAGCTGTTGGACTGATACAAACTCCTATAGAAGGTTCCCTACAATAGAGTCAGGAGGTGGTTAACCTTAGTGGAGACTGCTCCCGCAACCACTACAGGGTCATCGGAGCTCTGAAACCAACAAGACAGATCTCTTAGAGGTCCTTCTGGGGAGTGCCAGCCCCTTCTCCTCCTGAAATGGAGGAAAGTCTGCCTGTGCTTCTTCTGAATTCCAGCTGAGATATAAGCAGCCCCCACAAAACAGGGAAGGAAGCCTCAGGCAAAACAGCAGGGCAACACCCAGCCCCAAAGGAAGCTCACTGAATGTGGGTTTTCTGGCTAAAAATGTGGTTACAGAAACAGAGAAGGGAAGGGAGTAATAGCCAGAGAGAGAGGACTGCATCCCCTGGTGTATAGATTGATTAGTACATGATTTGTCGCCTGAGTGGCGGTGCCTGCTGGTGGATAGGCTGACCACAGTGTGTTCTCTGTCGTGTTTGGGAGAGATTGAAAGTTGAAAACTAAGATCTGGAACTTTCAAATCTTAATTAAACCAGGGAGGGTGAAGAAGCCATCACAGAGAGAGAGAGGAAAGGGTAAACAAAGGCCAAAGGCTCTGCCCACTTATGAGTCTTTTTGCAGAAAGTAGTATGGGCCAGAACACCAAATACTGGGGAAAACTGAGGAAGTTAACACCCTCAAAATTCCAATACCCCAACAAAAAATCACAAGACACACAAAGAACACAGAAATAATGGCTTATCCAAATGAACATGACAAAGGGAGTGAAAGCACATCTAGGAATGACAAAATAATGAAAAAAAGGGAAGAATATAATAAAACAACATTAAATATAAAGAACTAAGGGGAAACATAGACAAAGAGCCAGGAGAAATAAGGAAACAGTGCACTAAGGAGATATTGCAACTGAAAGGTACAATAGCTGAAATGAGAAACACAATAGAAGACTTACCAACAAAAAGAGACTTGTACACCAGTGTTCATTGCCGCACTATTCACAATAGCCAAAATGTGGAAACAACCTAAATGCCCATCAACAGATGAATGGATAAACAAAATCTGGTACATACATACAATGGAACAGGAGAAATGAAGTCTTGATACATGGTGCAATATGGATGGAGCTGGAAGATATTATGCTGAGTGAAATAAGTCCGTCACAAATCGACAAATATTGTATGACCTCAATTATGTAAAAAGACAAGAAAAGGCAAATGTATAGAGAACAAAGTTTATTCGTGGTTACCAGGGGTGGGAGGGATGGGGAAAAGGGTAGGGGTTAATGGTGAAGGAAAAATCACATTAATTAAGGGTAGAGCTGCACAGCCAATTATTGTAACTGCTGTCAATAAATTGTACACCTGTAAAAAATTGAACTGACAAAAGTTGTGTGACAGATATATTTACAAGAATGACAAAAAAAAAAAAAAAAAAAAAAGAGTAGCTGCTGAGACTGCTTATGTACAACCAAACACCTAATGGGATCTGATTCTTTGGTTTGGAGGTTTATCATGGTTTCGTTGGACATCCCAGTTAATTGGCTTAATAACATTTTTAAACCCTGGTGACGTAGTGGTTAAGAGCTACAGCTGCTAACCAAAAGGTCGGCAGTTTGAATCCACCAGGCACTCCTTGGAAACCCTTTGGGACAGTTCTGTTCTATCCTATAGGGTCACCATAAGTCAGAATTGACTGGATGGCAGTGGGTTTAGTTTATTTATTTATTTATTTTTCGTTCTACCTCCTAGTTTGATGTGTAGGGGTCTTAAAAGCTTGCAATCAGCCATCCGAGGCACAACCATTGGCCTCTATTTGCCTGAACAACAGAGGAAGAAGGAGAGTGAGGACTAAAAGGAGGAATGGAATGTGTGGCTAATTGCCTCCATGAGCAACTGCCTCCTTTGCCAAGAGACTAGAAGAACTGGATGGTGCCCAGCTACCATTACTGAACATTTTGTCAAGGATTCCATAGAAAAAACCTGACCAAAAATGGGAAAATACAGAACAGAATTTCAAATTTCTCAAGGATTCCAGACTTCCTGGGGTCATGGAGGCTGGATGAACCCTGAAACTATTGCCCTGAGATAATCTTTAAACCTGAAACCAAAAATATCCCCTAAAGTCTCCTTAAAACCAAACAGTGGTTTAGCTAAACTAGCAAAAAACATCTGCCTTGAGCATTATGCTCTTTTAATAACTATCTATATGGGAAACTTAGAGGGCTGTGAGTTTATATTAACAGGGGAGGAACAACTCAGAAAAGGAGGGTGAGAATGGTTGCACAACTTGAAGAATGTCATCAATGTCACTGAATCATACATGTAGAAACTGTTGAATTGGTGTATGTTTTGCTGTGCACATTCTCAACAACAACAACAAAATAAATAAAATTACATATATATATATATAAGAAATAGTACAACTCCTGCCACCAAGTATAATTAGTGGGTTAGATCTAGCTTTGGTCCGCAAAGGCTGATCTCCAGTTTATCCCTGAGGTTGCCTGATAAGATTATGGGCTCTGGCCATTTCTAAGTTTTGCTAAAACATTTCAATGAAAAGTGGTATATTCAGCAATTTATATGGATTCAAACAATGCTTCACCTTCATAAAATGTAAGAAAAAAAAAATAGGGATCATCCACAGCACAGTTCTCAAGTGCTAGAGTGCATAAGTATAATTTGGGAGAGTTAGTTAGAAGTGAATATTCCTGGTCTGCCTTAGAACTAGCACATCAGATGGGCGTCACACAGGTTGTCCAGGGGCCACATTGATTTAGGGGTCTGGCTTTTTTCTGTGATAATTTCCTTGCTCCTACGTAAAGCAGTTACAGGATGCTCTAAGGCATGTCCATTTACTGTTCCATCATGAATATTTCTGTCAGACCATAAGTTGACGTAAACACAGCCTTCTCATTGACAAGATAAAACAGCTAATCCTATAGAGATAGAAACATAAGGCCCAAATAGAATACAGATTTCTCCTTGAGAATGAAACGAAGGGATTTGAGAAAGTGCCAGAAGGTTTTTTTTGTTTTTGTTTTTCCCTCGAGGCCAAAGTCACACCATAGTCCAGGATCAAACGTCTGCCCATGTCTATAATTAACGCCGTGTGCCTCCACGCTGTTCTAAGGATAGAGTTGGCATTGTTCTTGAACAAATCAGTCCTTAACAAATGATCTAGGTCATAAGTTTTGCTTTCAAAGAATGGTTTTGTTCAAATTTGGGTCACCAACTATTACAGAAAACTCCCATAGTATATTTAGGATTTTGTTTTGTTCTTTTTTTCCTTTAAAAGGGCAAATTTCGATGATACCGCAACATACACAGCAGTGGCAACTAACGCTCATGGGCAAGTGTCAGCCAACGCGGCGGTGATTGTGAGACGTGAGTATTCACTCTCAGGGGAAGGAATATCTATATTTTCTTTATTCTTCCTTTACAATGTTCACTTCATTATTTTACAGGGTTTAGAGGCAGTGAAGAACCATTCCACTCTGTGGGACTACCAATTGGATGCAAGTATATTTTTTCTTTTGTGTAGAAAAATGTTTGAAGACAAAACGATGCATATAATTAGAAAATTATTTTCTAAGGGTCCACTAAAAAAATCATATTTTAAAAGCCTCTTCCAAGATTTTCACGGTTAATGTGAGAATGTTGACAATTTTTTCTCATGTAATTATTTAGTTAGTTGGTATTTTTAGAAACTGGTGAAATTGTGGCCTTGAGAGACTTTAAATTTTGAATTGGAAAAAAAATCTAAATCTTTGATAGGAATACATAATATTGCCACATTATACGTTTAAGGATACTTTTATTTTTCCCAAGAATCTCTGTGGTCATTTATAATGAACAGCCACTTCAGATCAAAATGAGATGGATCGTAAGGAGATGATTGCTCAGAAACTGGCCAGAGGTCTAGCTTTAAAGGTTTTAAAATTATTTTTTCTTATACACATAATATATCCTAAATTAAGTCCTTACAGCTTGCACAACTTGCTTTTTCTTGCTGGTATCCTGCTTTTTCACTCATTGTTTTGTTGTTAATGTTTCCTTTAAACCATAATGTTTAATGTGGCATATTAGTCCACAACGTGGCTTTATCATACCTGAGGTACTTCATCTAGTGCCCGATGGTTGAAGTGGTCTGTAGTGACTGTGAAATGAGGTGAGTGTCTTTCTGAATTCCATGGCTAGTTTTAGACTGGAAGACCAAGAAGATGGGTTGTCTTGAGTCAGGTGAGGGTGGAGGAGGGTAATCATGCTGTTGGCATTGAAGAACTATGTGACTCGATATGTTTACTTTAAAAATGTCTTACTTATGGCTTTGGGAATGAGATTTAGATTTTACTTGAACTTCTGAAAGAATAATTATATATTCTCACAGAATCTTTAATTTTACCACAATTTGATGTCCAGATGTTACAAATGGAGTGTTGCTGAGTGAAGAACTGACCAAAACAATGATTGAGTGCGGTGTCTCTCTTGCAGCCACTGAATACCTCTTGTTTCGTTTACTTTTGGTGATTTCTGAGTTAATTTTGTTGTATGGGCTTATATTCAACACTGGGTAGAGTCCAAGACCACTAACTGGCAAGTTGGAAAAAGTTCAGGTTAAATACAAGGGTGGTGAGTGACTGAGATCTGAGAATTTGTGTGTTCACAAATATCGGAGGTGTTCTTCAGATCTTAAGGACAAAATAAGTTTGATTTGGAGACTTGGCCCTATGTAATCATGTAGTGGAGCCCTGGTGGCACAGTGGTCAAGAGCTTGGCTGCTAACCAAAAGACGACAGTTTGAATCCACCAGCCACTCCGTGGACACCCAATGGGGCAGTTGTACTCTGTCCTATGAGGTGCTATGAGTTGGAACTGACTTGGCGGCAATGGTTTTTTTCGCTTTTTATTCATGAAGCTGCATGGGATCTGAGTTTACCTAGCCCCATCACCTTGTTCTCTTCGATTTATCAAATTTTTAATCTTTCTAAACAAAAACTTTGAAGTATTTATGACATACTGAAAAGTATAGATAAAAATATAACAGAAGCTCATGTGTTCACCACCCATATTTAACAAATGTAAATATTTCGCCAATTTTGCTTCAGTTTTTCTTTTTTACTTATTGTGGTGACATTGGCACAACATAAAATCAACCATTTTAAAACATACAGTTCGATGAAGTCTCAGTTATTTTTAAAAATATAAAATGATCACAGAGATGATTAAAGCACCATACTCTTTCCTAGTCCATACCTTCTTCCTGAGAGGAAACCACTATTTTGACGTTTGCAGCTATTCTGTAAACTTTCACTATATGCATGTGGTTGTAAATAATAGACTTTTCTTTTGTTTTTAAAATTCACTTGAGGTTTTCTATTGTAACCTACTTTTATTTATTTTTTTTTAACCAAACCTTACGTTTTTGAGATGTAATCAGGGTAATACCTACGGCTCGCACCCATTTGGGCTGCAGTATAAACAACATTCTGTTGATGGATATATCCCAGTTTATTTTGAAGAGGAGAAAACCGTGGCCTCAGGGTTGATATGACTTGCCTAAACGCAAACATTTTTGGGGGTCAACATAAAACTTAAAGCCCTTTATCGCTAAGGCGTGGTTCAGATTCCAAGTTGCCTTCATGTACATCCATGCTTCTTCATCCTCCTTTTGCACACACGACAAACTGAAATTCCACGGCTGTTTTTTCTGACCCTTCAGAACTGGCTCTTTTGAGAAAGTGCACATAATGTCGCGGCGAGGAATCACAATTTTGCGGTAACAGCACGACGTTTATCTGCTGTGCTTGACGTCTCCGCGACCTCCTGACCTAACGGTGCCCGATTCCCTTCTGCAGTGCCCTTCTCGTCTGGGCTTCCGTATACCCACTTTGATGTTCAGTTTTTGGAGAAGTTTGGGGTCACCTTTCGGAGAGAAGGCGAAACCCTGACCCTCAAGTGTACTCTCTTGATCACGCCAGACCTGAGGAGAGTGCAGCCGAGAGCCGAGTGGTACCGAGACAGTAAGTCAAACCCAAACCCGTGAGAAGATGCTCCCGTGTGAATAAAGCCGCTTGTCCCAGCGTCACTGATCGCTAAACTGCTTGTGCAAAAAGGAATTTTTAAAACTTTACCATCAGTTCGGGACTGGCCCCCTCCACCTGTGGTTTTTCATATAAGCTTTCTGCCAGCGTATTAGCTGCAGGTAGCAAAGCAAACTAACTGGGTGACTAGAGAGAACCTGGCAGCAGTGTCCGTGACCTTGAAACTCATCCAGGGGAATTGTTGAGAGGTTGACTGAGAGGTATCTGAATTTAGAAGAGTTGATCAGAGATTTTTTAATAGCCACATAAAAAGGGTATCTACGTGAGTTAAAAAAAAAAAAACAAAACAACAAAACGGGGGAGGTGTCGTTTACTTTCTTCCTCAACTAACTCTGTGGCTGGCATTTCCTAAAGCTTATTATGTGCTGGACTCTGTTCCTTGTGTGATAATTTATTTAATTGTTGTAACAGTCATGGAACATAGACACTGCTATTAACTCCATATTATAGATACGGAAATTGAAATGGACACACTCAAGGATCTTCCACTGGTAAGTGGCAGAGCCAGGACTTGAACCCAAGGATCTGGTTCCAGAGTCTCTGTTCTTAAGCACCATGCAGTGTTGCTCTAGCAGTCACAAATAGTTCCCTGCTTCTATATTTAGGCAAATTCTGGAAGTAAATTTCTCCTTCTTCTTCTCTGGGATGTGGTTTTTAATGCAAACTTGTTTTCTGAATCACACAGAGTTGTTTCCATATATTTCTTCAGGACCTCACATGATGCAAAATATTATAAACATGTGACTCCATTCCTGCGCATTAAATATTGATAACTCGGTTGGGGAAAATTATATAAAATTATAAGGCAATGTCCTTTTGAAGTATAAGAAATATTCCTGAACAAGCTGTGATAATTTGCCAAACACATGGATAGTGGCCACACACACTAGTGAGGTTGAGTTAGTAGGTTCGGAGTGACGAAGCGAAGCTTCACAAAAAAAAAAAAAGAAGACTCTTGAAAGATGAGGCTTTTAACTGATTGAGAGGAAGGAGGATTCTCGTGCGCCAAAACGTGAAGGTTCCAGGCACAGAGAATACACGTGTGACTTTGTACATAGCAGACTAGGAACGAATTGCTAGGTCTGTAGGGGTGTTGTCACCTAGGATTTGCTGTTGGAATAGTTATAACCATGGCCTCTTTTCATGCTGTCTGAGAAAGAGACAGAAAGAGAAAGACAGGAAGTGGGGGAAAGGGAGGGAGAGGGAGAGAAATGGTGGCAGAGGAGATTAGCATTGCGATTCACTCTTTCTGGAAAGAAATGGAATTTTTTTTTCCTGGTGGCTAGGAAGTGCCTAGAATTCTGGAGACACGGCAGTTTTACAAACCTTGACCAATTAGAATTGAATATATATTGTCATAAAAATCATTCTTATTCTGAGAGTTATCCTTCCATTTCCAGCTAGGTCCCTGTGATATTGGAGTGGGATTTAGTTGTCCAAGTAGCTCCACATTAGCAGCCATAATCAGATCTTCATAGACCTTATTATTCAAATGGAAGGCAATGGAGACAATTCTCCTTGGATAATTTTAGACATTAAAATGCAAGGGGATATTTTTTACAATTTAAAATTAATAAACTGAGACTCACCAGGTGGCTGGGAAGCTCCAGAGGCAATGTCAGTCAACTGAAGGAAATCTCTCACAGGTATGAAGAAATTGACTATGCAAACAGGAAATTGGGATTTACTGACACAATTTAAAATGGATTAGTCCTCTAAAGTTACCATACTGAAGTAATCACAGAAGAGAAAGGCTCGGTTACTTATAATAAAACCTGAAACCACTTTTGGGTGTGATTTGCTCGTGAGGCTGATTTGGTAGGTAATCTTAAGGTAATTACAAACGAAGGCCTCGGTTTCAGGAACTGGCTTCTAAATAGACATCCTGCTAAAGCTGAGCTTCAAATTTGGCCTGGGTCCTGCGTGGTTTATATACCAACTGACTACATATTTAATAATGAGGAACAGTTTTTCCTTTAGTGTGTGAAGGACTTGGCCAGAGAGAAACGGGTTCCCTGGAATACTCACCAGGGTCAGCATCCACTGTAAGTAACCTGGTCTTATTTTGGAAATTCAGATCAGTTTTGAAGTTTTTCACATCCAAAGCTGTGCCCCACTGTCACGGATTGAATTGAGTCCCCCAAAATTGTGTGTCAACCTGGCTAGGCGATGCTTCCCAGTATTGTGTGATTGTCCACCATTTTGTCATCTGATGTGATTTTCCTCTGTGTTGTAAATCCTACCTCTATGATGATAATGAGGCAGGATTAGTGACAGCTTTGTTAATGAGGCAGGACTCAATCTATAAGATTAGGTTGTGTCTTAAATCAATCTTTTTTGAGATGTGAAAGAGAGAAGCGAGCAGAGAGACAGGGGGACCTCATACCACCAAGAAACAAGAGTCAGGAGAATAGCGGGTCCTTTAGATCCAGGGACCCTGCACTAGGAAGCTCCTGGATCAGGGAAGATTGGTGACAAGAACTTTTCCCCAGAACCAACAGAGAGAAAAAGCCTTCCCCTGGAGCTCGCACCCTGAATTCAGACTTCTAGTCTCCTAGACTCTAAGACAATAAACTTCTCTTTGTTGAAGCCATCCCCTTGTGGTATTTCTGTTACAGCAGCACTAGATGACTAAGACACCCTGAAGGGTATTTTCTGGTGTACAGTCCATTAGAGACCCACAACCACTGCCTTCATCCTTAGAAGAACAGTGCATTTATGCAAATAGGATTCTGTAATATGTAACGAGCACCCAGTGGGCTAGAAGCCAGGCAGCTGTGAGTTCTCCTGAGAACCAGTGTCTCCTCCCATGGATCTAGCAACTCTATTAAAGGTCTACTGCAATCATTAGACAAAACAATGCAAATGCTGCATGTTGATATTGTCTCTGGCTTCGTCCTTGGTAAGGCTTACAAAGGTAACAGTAAATTTAAGTGTATTTTGAAAGCACACATTTGGTGAAACGCGACATGCCAGGCCCGGTGGACCTGGCAGTAAATAGGACCGATACCTCCTCCGCCATTGTGGCTCTTGCGTGTTAGCCAGTGTCCAGTTGGCAGTGATGTGCGCAAAGGAGTGGGGGGCACACTCAGTGTGCGGTGTAAAGGGTGTTATGTTGTCCTCCACCTCTGATCCAAGGTGTCACTAAGACCCCTAGGTGGTACAAGCTGTTTGCACTTACCTAGTAACTTCAAGGTTGGCAGTTCAAACCCGCCGAGTGGTGCCATGGAAGAAAGGCCTGGTGATCTACTTCTGTAAAGATCCTAGCCAAGAAAACCCTATGGAACAGTTCTACTCTGTAACACATGGGGTTGCCATGAGCTGGAATCACCCCGATGGCAATGGGTATCAGTCACTAACGAGGACAGTGAAACAAAATAAAGCCAGCTAAGGGGATGAGGAGTGAAGAATTATTGATGAGGGAAGAATTACTGGCAGTAAAAAAGACTTCTCTGAGGAGGTGCTGTTTGAGAAGACACCTGAATGAAGTGAGGGAGCAAGATTTATAAGTATCCAGAGCATTCTAGACAGGGAAAAGACCAAAAGCAAAGACCTTGAGGTAAGAAGAAATTGTTGCTTCTTCAAAGGACAGTAAGAACCATGTGCCTGGACAGGATGAGTGGGAAGAAAGGAGAAAATAAGATGGTGTGGGCCACGTGAGGAGGCTGGATTTTATTTTCAGTGTGATGGGAAGTTATCAAAGATTTAGAGCAAAGGAACGACGTACGACATATAACTTACAATCATATTATGAACATGTCCCTCTGGCTGCTGGGTGGAGAACTGAGGGGCGTATTGTGGACACAGGATACCATTTAGGAGGTTGTGGTTGAATCTAGGGGAGAGGTCGTGGTGGCCTGGGCTAGGGTGTTGGGGTGAAGGTGGCGAAAAGCAGTGATATTGAGGATTTCTTTTGTTCTAACAGGACTTGCTAAAACATTGGAAGCGAGGTATGAGAAGAAAAGAATCATCTGTTATCCCTAGGGTTTTCACAGGAAAAGCCAGGTGGCTGGCTTACTCAGTGGAGAAGTCCGGGGACAGGAAGCAGTTAGGGAGTGGGAAATCAAGAATTCGGTTTTGCTGTAGTTGTTAGCTGCTGTTGAGTTGGCCCCTGACTCATGATGACCCCGGTGGAGTGGTTACAGAGTAGAACTGCTCCATAGGGTTTTCTTGGTGGTAATCTTTACAGAAGCAGACTTCCAGGCTTTTTTGCAAAGCTGCAGAGTGGGTTCGAACCTTTAGCCTTTGGGTTAGCAGCTGATCGCAAATTGCTTGTGCCACCCAGGCTCCTTGAATTTAATTTTAGGCATGTTAATTTTGAGATGCCTGTTAGACATCCCAGTGGAGATGTTGAATAGGTGGAGTGGTATATGAGTCTGAAGCTTTGGGGAGAGGTCAGGACCAGAGAATTCAGTAGTGGGAGTCACTGCCATAAAAAGTATTAAAAGTACAGGACAGATGGAGTCTGTTTAGGATGTGTAGATAGAACTGAGAGCATAGATGTGTAGATAGAACTGAGATAATCGTTTGGGTTTATGTTTACCTAAAATGCCTAATCTAAGTACATTACCTTACTTAAAAGTTGAGGATAAAATATAATGATAGAAATAACAATCCTACTTATAATTTAAGGAGGCCTGGTGGCACAACGGTTAAGTACTTGGCTGCTAACCAAAAGGTAGGTGGTTCGAATCCACCCAGCAGCTTTTTGAGGGAGAAAGACCTGGTGATCTGTTCTCGTAAAGGTTAAAGCGTAAGAAACCTTATGGGGCAGTTCTGATTCTGTCACGTGGGTCATTAGGAGTCGAAAATCATCTCCACTGCATCTAACAACAATAAACCAAAAAAAGAAAAAAAAAAAACCAAACCAGTTGCCACTGAGTCGGTTCCGACTTAGAGTGACTGCATAGGACAGAATAGAACTGCCCGCAGAGAGTTTCCAATGAGCTGCTGGTGGATTCAAACTGCTGACCTTTTGGTTAGCAGTCGTAGTTCTTAACCACTGTGCCGCCGGGGCCCCAACAACAATAACAATTATAATTTAATGAGTATCTACTACACGACAGGTACCATTAGTAGCTTTCAACATTGTCTCTAAGACTAAGAACTGCACTTAGAGCAGGTATTGTTGTTCTTTTTTCAATGGGAGGAAACAAAGATTCAGAGAGGTCCGTGATTGTTCCCCTGTGACCCAGCGAGAAAGCGATAGAGCTAGATTTAAAAAACAACCAGAGGCGCAATTCCAGGTGCTCCCTCCTACGTCTCTTTCATAAATCATATGCCATTTCCAGACTTTTGAGTTTACAATATCAACATCTACAAAGTTAAGTAACGTTGGTAGAATAAACAGTAACATATGACACAAGGCAAAATGTCGGTACTAAATTAGACCTGTTCTGTGAACTTGCAGAAGAGAAAAATCACAACGGGTTAGAGTTATCAGGGCAGGCTACTTGGAAGAGGTGGAAGCAAATGATAAAGAAGAGTTAGGGAAGGAAGGTTTATAGATAAAAACTGACATAAATCCAGTCCCCAAATGTGAGGATTAATCAAATCCCCACTTTCCCACTTCTCCATCATCTCTGACACCAGTTGTCCAGAGCTAGGTAGATCTCACAAGTTAAAACAACGCCGTCCTTCGGATGGCCAAACAGGCAGCCGAAGGTTTGGGAGTCCACACGACACCCTTGCTTCCGACCTGCTGGCCACAAGTTTGGAGTTTTCCTACTCCCCTTTGAGATGCCAGCCACAAGCTGGGGGCCTTCTCTGGGTTCCCTCACTTCCACCTGCTGGCTCCCACTGCTCCTTTGGGTTCGATAATTCTCTGGAATGATTACAGATTTATTACAGCAAAAGGACAGAAATCAGGATCAGCATAAAGAAGAGTCACATGGGGTGAGATACAGGATTCCCAATGCAAATCTTCTGTGTCCCAGAAAGGGCAAGCTGCTGCCTTAGAGGTGTCTTTCACCAACCGTGAATCTCCTGGTGCTTCTGGGTCCTGAGACCGCTGGCTTCATTGGGTAGTTATAACTGAGGCCTCATTGCATATGCGTGATTGAATCATGCTCCCCTCCTTGAGGTCAGCTGATCTCCAGCTGTGGTCCATATGGCTTGGTTAACCCCCCTGCTCATTAGCAGGAATCCTCTGGTATAGTCTTTAGGCCTAGATAACAAAAGGCACCTCAGTCGCTCAAGACATTTCCAAGATTATCTCTCAGGAACCAAGGACAAAGGCCAAATTGCTCTTTGTAAGGTGATTCATGCTCTTACAGAAGGAAAGTATTCCAGCGAAGGTTTTCTTCTCATATTTCAACTCACTGCAGGATGTTTAATCAAAGTCGGAGCTGACATTTTGAGAGGTCTCACAGCCTGGAAATATGTTCGTCTGCCATTTGCATGGATAGGAGGAAGTCCACCGCGGCGGGCAGAGCGCAGTTTCTGGAGGAGGTGGCTGCTGTAGACAATTGATGCCCCAGGAGAGGCTCAGGGGTCACTGCAAGGTCTCATTCGTAGTGAAAACATTAGAGTCAGTGATGACTGACCGAGTGGTTTCCCTAGATAAGTTGCAAACACTCAGCCACAGCAAGAAAAAAAAAAAAGATGTCACTCCAAATGGAGACTAAAGAGTCATAGCGAAAAATTATTTGAACTGGATTGCTAACCAAAAGGTTGGCAGTTCAAATCCACCAGCTGCTCTGAGGAAGGAAGATGGGGCAGTCTGCTTCCATAAAGATTTACAGCCTTGGAGACCCTGTGGGGCAGTTCTACTCTGTCCTCTAGAGTGTTGTCAGTTGGATTTGACCGGATGGCAGTGGGCTTGGTTTCGTTTGGGACACGAGGATGGGCAAACAAACTGGACTTCATGTTAATGCGCCTTAGTAACGATCTCCTTAAATACCCCACGATGGACTTTCCATTGGCTTTGGCTGTGAAGAGAGGCAGGCCATGAGAGTCAGGATCCAGACTCTGGATCCTAGGTGTACTTTAGAATCCCCTTGGGAGATTTTTTTAAGTGTTCAATGCTTGGTGTAGACCAGAGATTCTAATTTAATTAGGCAAACAGGGGCTTGGCTCTCTGGATTTGTGTGACTTCCCCAGATGATTCCAATGCGTGACCAGTCTGAGCACCACTGCATTCATTACACGGTGAGGGAGAAACCGTATAAAAAAAAAAATCAGGAGTTTGGTGTTCTCAGAGGACAGTGAGCAGATTACTCTGCCTGGAATGGAGTTTGTAAGGGGAATAATGGTAGAAACACTTGACCAGCTGTACTGGGGTTACATTATGGACAGCCTTGATACTAAATTGTCAATGCAAGTGTCCATTATTCAGGCATCAAAATCGGCAAAAAAATCTAGTCATTATTGACGCAGAAATTAGCCTGGCTTACTGTGAATGTGGGTCACATTGCATATGTCTTTGATGTTATTGAAACCCTTGATTATGTGTGTGAATAGCTGACCTTTTGAATAATCCAAAGGAATGATCCAATCTTTAAGACTAGAATATTATCAAATATCAAGGTTAAGTTTTTCTTACTTTATACACTTAAAAAGTTTAAAAGATCATAATCAAATTGAGAGAATGAGGTCGAAGAGAATATACCTGATTTTTCTAATATTTTAAAGGATACGTGCATGTATGGTAAGAGCCTATATGTGTCCATATACACAAAGGTATGATTAACTTCGTGAAATTTGGGTGCCTTTCCACTGAGTTCAGATTTACAAGTCAAACATTATCACAAATAAAAATGAAAGCATATGAATGTTGAGAAAACCCGTAGTATTCTAATCAACCCTGTATTTTTAACATTAAATCTTTTAAGGCTGTTTTTTTCTCACCCTGTGATACAGTCTACGAGTTTATGCTCCATTCTTTGCAAATGTAAAATTTAGCCATTAGATACATTTTATTGCAATCCTCTAATCACATATCGGTTGGAGAAAAGAACTTGACGCTATATCCTCCAGAATTTCTTTTCTTTCAACTTGGATAACAATCATGTAGTTTTACGGGTATTACAATACCTGCAAAGACATTCTGTTCACTGATCATTTTTTTGTATATTCCATTTTTATTGTATTTTGTATTCTATTGCATCATATTATGTTTTAATTGAATTTACCATGTATCATGGATTGACATGGTGGCTCCAACAATGGGCTCAGACACAGCAGTGACTGTGAGGGTGGTGAGGGACCGGGCAGTGTTCCGTTCTGTCGTACGTAGGGTCACTACGAGTCGGAACTGACTCAATGGCATCTAACAACCACAACAACGTATCAGGCACTGTGTCAATTCCCATCGAAAAGAGATAAAAATGGAAAAAATAAACAGCTTACAATATTGATTTTTATTGCACATTTACCATTTTTATTCACAGTGCTGACAAGCGGGGACTTGACCTTGGAAGCAGCGTAGCGCAAAGGTCACATGCCTTGTGGGCCAGGAGTATCCCTGAGCTTGCCAATCAAGTTTGATATATTGCTTATTTTTGAAAATTAAAAAAAATTAGAAATATTTTTTTCTTATAAAAATAGCAGTGTGTACTTGTAGAAAACTAAAAATAAATTTATTTCTCCAGCCTCCAAAAATCGCAATTATCACCCTGGTGTAAAATATATATCTTTATCTGTAGGGAGCAATTTGAACCTATAAGAATTCAGTTTGAAATCTCTCTCCTTTCCATTTAACAATATACCATACACGTTGCCATGATGCTGGCTATCATTTCACTCCATTAGCTATTCCATTATACGAATGTGCCTACTTCTCATGTACGTGGACTTTTGAGCTGGTTCAGTTTTTTTTTGTGTGTTATAAATAATTCTGGAATAAAATTCTCACCGGCCTCTCTATTTAGAATCTTGGAAAAATTTGTAGAATTTTTATTGGCATCCCAAACTGCAGGCATCTCTTCTGGCTTTTGATAAGCGTTCTCCCCTTGCCCTCTGTGTAATGGCACCCCCGCTAGAAGGATCTGAGCGTGTCTTTCTGCCCTTCCTAATTGTGGATGGTGTCCTTTTTTCATCTGTCAAACATAGTAGGTGAAAAATAGTTTCTCGTTATTTATTTAGCGTTTCCTTGATTATCAGTGTTGAGTGGTTTTTCAGAAGCAAATTCGCCATTTTCATTTCTTCTCTTACAAATTACTTGTTTATTTTCATTGCTCTTTTATCTATTGGGTTGTTGGTATTTTTATTATTTATTTCCAGGTGTCATTGACTGGGGACTTTTTCTATGCTCTTGTCTAGTGAAGTGCTTTCTGCACATGAAAGCATTTTCTTCAAGTAAAAACCTAAGGAGGGAGTAGACACTTAGAATCATTGGAGGAATCCTGAGGACACTGGAATTGGAGAACAGCTGTTCAGCTGAGAAGCAGTAAGCAGGGACGTTAACCCAGGTTTATCTAAACACAACGCTAGTGATCTTCCCAGGACACGTTCTGTCTTTATGCGCTCAGGATGCTGACCTTATGTTCTATGTTGCAAATTCTTCTTCACAGTTTACCATTCATTTGTGTGCGCTTTCTGTGCCACAGCCTTTAGCTTTTCATGAAGTCAGGCTTAATGATCCTCCTCTGCCGTGATGTTATACGAATTTCTGCTTAATATTTTCTTCTATTTGTTTCTGAGGCAAACTTGAATTTTATTGCCTTTCAGATGTGCTACTGAAAGAATCAAAGTGGACCAAGATGTTCTTCGGAGAAGGTCAGGCCTCCTTGTCATTCAGCCACCTAAACAAGGATGACGAGGGCCTCTATACCCTGAGAATCGTTTCAAGAGGAGGCGTGAGTGAACACAGTGCCTTTCTGTTTGTGAGAGGTAAGGATGTGTGGGTGTGAAGAGTGTTACAGCAAAGATCTAAGAATATGCAAGAGGGTGAGATGTTGTAAAGACAAAGAAAGTTAAAGGAAACTGAGCAAAAGGAACATGACATTTGAAAAATTATTTTTGCTTCTTAGAAACTTAGCTGGTAGTGAAGTAGATTTTTTTTTAGGTGCACAAGCACATTAAATTGCATCCTGACAATAAATAGATGAAATAAGTAGTATATAATTGGAATAGATTGGAATCATAATTTTTTTCTAATAGTTATGAAATTACCAGAATTTATGAAATGACTCCTAATACTATATCCACATGAATACACCTGACTTACTAATTCTTGAGGGAATTCAGCACCAGAGTGGGGTCCACAGGCTGACACCTCTGGTTGGGAACACCAGAGACAGAACTTCCTTATGTCTCCCTGCTATCTCTTTCGCTCCCTCTAGACTTTCGCTTAAAAAGAAGAGACAATGATGACAGCCACTGTTATTATCATTACCACTACCTTTAGTTAAATTAGTGTTTAAGATGATAATAATAATAATGGCAGCTAAGATTTATACCTAAGATCCTAATAAATTATGAATAACATTGCGAAGAATGGGAATTCCAAAACACTTAATTGTGCTCAAGAGGAACCTGTACCTAGACCAAGAGGCAGTCGTTTGAGCAGAGCAAAGGGATATTGTATGGCTTAAAATCAAGAAAGGTGCATCAGGGTTGTATCCTTCCACCACACTTATTCAATCTCTATGCTGAGCAAACACCCCGATAAGCTGGACTATATGGAAGAGAAGGCGGCAACAGAAAGGGAGGAAAACTAACAACGTGTGCCATGCAGATGACACCACCTGACTGACTGAAAGCGAGTAGGATGTGAAGCCCTTACTGCTGAGGATCAAAGACTACAGCCTTCAGTACGGATTACACCTCAACATAAAGAAAACAAAAATCCTCACAACTGGACCAATAAGCAACATCATGATAAATGGAGAAAATATTAAAGTTGCCAAGGATTTTATTTTACCTGGATCCACGAACAATGCCCACGGAAGCAGTAGTCAAGAAATCAAATGATGTATTGCACTGGGCAAATCTGTTGCAAAAGATCTCTTTAAAGTGTTCACCTGACCCAAGCTGTGGTGTTTTCAATTGCTTCATAAGTATTTGAAAGCTGGACAGTGAATAAGGAAGACCAAAGAAGAATTGATGCCTTTGAATTATGGTGTTGGTGAAGAATACTGAATATACCATAGACTGCCAGAAGAATGAAAAAAATCTGTCTTGGAAGAAGTATAGCCAGAATGCTCCATAGAAGCAAGGATGGTAAGACTTCATCTCATGTACTTGGGACACGTTATCAGAAGGGACCAGTCCCTGGAGAAGGACATTATGCTTGGTAAAGTAGAGGGTGGGCAAAAGAGAGGAAGACGTGCAATGAGATGGATTGACACAGTGGCTGCAACGATGGGCTCAAGCATAGCAAGGACTGTGAGGATGGCGCAGGACTGGACAGTGTTTTGTTCTGTTGTACAGAGGGTTGTTATGAGTAGGCACTGACTCAATGGCCCCTAACAACAACAACGACAAGATTTACAGAATGTTTTTTGTCAGGCAAAATGTGAACTGTCCTACTTGTATTGTCACATTTAATCCTCACAACAGCCCTATGAAGTAGGCTTTATAAATCTTATTTTATCAAAAGGAAAACAAAGTTCAGAATAATCCAGGCAGTGTCAGCCTATCTATATAAATTATATATAATTGTATTATATAAGATATGTACGTATTTGGATTATGTAAAATTTACACACAGATGTATTTCCAATCCTGTAAGAAAATATTACTGTTTTCATTTTTCAAATGACGATATTGATGCTCTCCTCTAAGGTGGAGGAGCCAGGATGAAATTTCGTAGGAACCTGGAGCTTGAGAGTTTCCGTTTGCAGAGTCCCGGTCGCAGTCTTTGGGCATTGTGTGACCGCTCAGAAGAGGACTCGGTTATGCTTGGTTTAGAAGCTGTCCGGGGGCCAGTCGGTGCCTCTGCTCCAGGACGTGCCCTCTTTAGCCTCTGGGATTAGAGTCAGTCTCCTCTCTAAGGCACAAAACCTGTTGCCGTCGAGTCAATTACGACTCATAGTGACCCTAAAGGACACAGTAGGACTGCCCCATAGGGTTTCTAAGGAGCAGCTGGTGGATTCGAACTGCTGACCTTTTGGTTAGCAACAGAGCTCTTAATCACTGTGCCAGTGGGGCTTCTCGAAGGTGCACGGCTGAACTATTATTAAGCTATCAAAATACTCTATTCAAGTGGGCTGATAACTACTGTCCCGGGTCTTTGAGTGCTCTATCTCCCTGGACACTCAGAGCTCCCTTCCCTCCAGCTCGAGAGCTGTGGCTGCTGTCCATTTGGATTGGCCAGGACCCAGCCCTTATCTACTGTTCAGTGTTTTGTTCACCTTTATACCTACTTCCAGGTCCCGAGCTTATGTGTGATGATCATAATGTTATAAGTGCATGATTTTTCCACTCCCAAGCTGGATCAGTTAGATTGGAGGATAAAGGAAAGGCTGTATCATTAGGAAACACTTTATCTTAAAAAAAAAAACAAAACCAGAATAGAACAATGTAAAACAATCAAACAAACCAATACATCTCACCTTCTCCACCACCATGAGATAACACAGACTTGCAAGGCTTTCATTTTTGATGCTTTGAGAAAGTTTTACCATTTTTATTAGGTTGGCATTAAAATGTACCTTCCATTCTCTGTATATACCTTCTGGGAAGATGTTTTCCCCATAAAAATGCAATAAATACAACATAACTGAAATTGCCTTGCTTATTCAGCACCATTAACAGGGAGAAAATAATGCAACTATGGGGGAGTTTAACAGTTCTGATTATGTTCTGAAGATTTTGAGAGCGAGAGAAAATAATTGGCTCAATCTCAAGAAATCCATAGCTTTTAATATGCTGAGGAGACTCAAACAGGAAACTGTATAATGCTTCCACTGCTAAGAACGTATAACGTAACCGTGGTTACTGAATAAATACACATTTTAGATAAGGAAATTAAATGTTCGGTGTCTTAACTTTCTAAATAGCTCTGTGGTCTTCAGTGCAGCTGTAAATAAAATGGGAAAACAAAACCTAATTGCATTATGATCATAAACAGGCTGTGAAATAAACAGAGTATTGACCCAAACAATTGCTCACAAACTGCCAAAATTTTTTTTATAAACCTCAAGTATTCTAAGGATTTTGAAATACAGAAGTATCCAAGGTAATATTTCTCAGATGGTAAAAAGACCAAATTATTAGTATCATTTTCTCAGTAAATCTTTGATAACATGAAATCAAGAAAAGGTGAGCTTCAATTGTGGGTCCATTTAAGTAAAAACAAACTGGCATTTGTTATAGGCATTTCAATGTTCTGAGTTTTTT